TGTTTGCCTTCTGTGCATACCACTGGTATCCCAGTCTGCTGGTGCAGACTTTGGGCTCAGCCCAAACCAGTCACTTCCACTTTACTTGATTCACCTTGTACTGGTCACAGCTTCACCATGGTCCATCCCCCATTTTTTTGTCTGTTTTGGAGACAGAACTAAAAATTTAACATTTGTTTGTATTTAACAGGAATGAGAAACAGGTTGTTTTAAGGAAAGTAATTGCAGTTACCATGCAGTGATAATAGTGCACATCTGTGACCCAGATCCCACCCAGGATGAGGAAACCATGAGAGCACACCAAAGAAAAATAATGATAGTAAAAAAAAAAAAAAAAAAGGTTTTTTGCATCTCTTTGGAGCTAAAATGGATTTGCTCATTTCGCTACTTGAGATGTATATTTGTCCAGTTTTCCTTTGTGAGAACCCATGGAAACCAGAGCATTATTCAGATCTAGACTTGTTTGTCTCCAAGCTTGAATACTCTAAACTCTCTATTGTTAAAATCCAGACATGTGGTGAATATATGGTTATATTTTCATATACTTATTTTCAAAATGCATTTTCTGTGGTAGTTGTGTTTCTGAAGAATAAAAGTAATTCTAAAGGACATACAATTCTGCTGTTGTTCTAACAGAAATATTGACTGGAGTAACCATAATTTTGTGTTTCTTTGATCTAAAACAGGTTAGATTATTTTGAGGATCAATGCCTTTTGCTGTGCTCTTTGCTTTCATGGTGAGCTGATGAAGAACGTCTGAATACTAAGCTGTTGTAGACTTATCAAGGGTTGTACTTATTGAAATACTTGCAAACAAATAATTTTCTAATACTCATTCAGTTAAGCTCAATATTCTTCATATACAGCAGATCCTAAGTGGGAAATCAATGCTATGTTTTTTCCTGTTTTGTAGCAGAAAGGAGTTGTGTTGATTTCAGGTATCTGTGTGTTTTAAAGTATAATTTATATGAATCAGTGGAAATTAAACATTGAATGACTTAATGAAACTTCTGAAAGATCCTAATCACTAACCCTAAGATCCTAATCAGGCTCTTAAATCCTGTGAAATTCCATTCTGCAGTACTTAACCAGTTCAGCTTCACCATTTGAAAAATGGTGAGTTTGTAGCCTGGCTGCAAGAATCTAACCCACACTCTCACTGTAGGATTTGGCACATGCAGGGATAGAAATTACACATTCCCAGGGAAATACCAAGAGCAATCAAAGGGCAGACGTGGTGTGTTTGCACTTGGCAAGGAAAACCACTCTTGGAACAATCCCTTCCAATCAGTGGCCAAATATTGACAATTGGTGGTACACAGTGTATTGATCCTAGCTATTAAAATATGACCACATAAGTCAAGATTAATTAATGATGATTTAATGAATCATTGTTTATCAGTGATTTGTCTAATCATCTTTTTATATTAATAGGCTACTGGGTGAAACTAAAACCAGGCTTCACAGTGATCCTATAAGTGTAAAACTGTTTAGCATTAATAGGCTTGTTTCACTAATAAAAAATTTATTTGACCTAGTAACAAAGACAATAGATTACAAGCTGGCAAGGCAATTTTCTCTTTGCATACATTTGTATTGTGTCTTCCACATGGACAGGACAGGAATACAAAACCAGAATAATACTACTTAAATTGAAGAGTCTGATTATGAAAAGAGAACCATGTAAAAATAGGGAGTGCCAGGTAAAGAATTAGAGGCAAAGGAGTAAAAGAAATAAAAGACCACCTGAGATATCAGACTATTCAATAACTTCCCTAATTATTTGAATTATGTAAAATCTATGTCATCACTTGAAAAATAATTCTGCATTGTGTAGTGTAGGGAAGTGCACAGAATGACCCACTAGATCCTTTGTGTCTTATGTTTATTACACTGAGATTGAAACTGATGTTTTATGGAAACAAACAGGTGTTCCCAAGCACTGCATTAGCATAAGAATATCTATATAATCACAGCATTAAACAGTGAGTCACTTAAAAGCAGCAATGAATTAGTGTCAAGTTTATATGACCTTGTGTCTAAATGATTGCTTCAACAAATATAGCACTTTCAATAAAAATGGTGAATGTTAAATGATCCTCCAAGGTCTAATAATTACATGAAAATGAGTTGACACTAGTGACATCCTTAGATTAAAGCTGAGTTATGCTTACTTTAGGACAAATTCTCTTTGCATTTGCCACCCAAATTAGAGAAAGGCAAATAAATCCTTCATTAGAAATGCTGTGTTGTGATCTTTCTCAACTGTGAGGGGCAGCAGCAGTTTATGGAATTTTCTGAATAAACAAGTTACACTGAGCAGAGTGTTTCAATGAACAAATCTACTTTGAGCATTAAATCAAATAACAGGCAATGTTTGTATTAGGAATCTTTCATTTGCTTGTTCACCTGCACAGTATTACACCTACACTATTACAAAAAAATCTTAGTAAAAGGCAGCTGTTATTGTTAGTGTAGAACAGAGGGTCTCATCTATTCAGGGAACCTACCCAGCGTAAGAAACTTCACTTCTGCACCACTGGTTGGACTATTTTTACTATGACTAAAATTGTACACTTCTTTGAAAGGTTTCACACAGAAATGAAATGAAATTTTCTACAGAAAGGCTTGAAGTAATTAGCTTGACTGGTTCTACTTATGTATATTTTGAGATCTAAAAAAAACTTCTGACTACACACTTTGAGGTTTTGTTTGTGGAATACAACTCCTTGGTACCTTGAATGCAACCTCACAACTACAGACTGTCTTGTATTCATATCTGGCATCTGGTGTTGAAACATTTCTAAATGATCAACTAAACCCAAAATTCCTGCACTAGTTTTGTCCATTGGCTTCACTTGGGCCACATGTTCTACAGTTTTGGGAATAATGAAGTTTAGACAGGACATGGGGTCACCTGATACCTTGCTGTGAACAGTCTAATGTGAAAAAAATGGAATGTATTTCCTACTTTGTGAATGAAAATTGAGACAGAGAGAATTCATCCTTTGTAAGCAGCACATTATTGTCTTATCTCTGCAGAGCTGCACCTGAGTTTTGCCTCAGTAAAATAGCACAACCCCAGGTAAAGATGGACTGCAGCTCTACACCTGAGTGGGAAGGCACACATGACCAATATTGTGCCAAGATGGAAACAGTTCCAAGTAACAGAACATAGGAAAATAGGGTTATTTTGTCTGTTAAATTACAGTGTTGATTTTACCTTGAGAAATGTATCAGTCTGCAAACTCAAAAAAGATCATTTGTATTATCTAAGTGGATTTTGTTCACTTCTCATCTGCAGCTTATTCCAAGTGTTCATTGGATCAAGACATTCTATTTACTGCAACAGAATAGAGAAATGGCTGAAACTGTTCTCATTCTGAAACCAGACTGCATTTCAGCTTACTGAGCAGCCATATCTTGACATGAGCAAGTGCAGGCACAAAGCAGCTTTTCAGTTTCCATTTGCCAGGGTACACACTTCCCTCTTGATCTGCATCATCTATTCTGTGAACAAAGGGACATTTTACTTAAAGTGTCCAGGCAAATTTTGCACACGAAATTTGTTCACAATTTACCAAGACTAAATAACATTTAGGTTTCCTTCTTGGTGTTTTTGCCTCCCATTGCTAAACTGCTGGTGGTGCAACAGATTTTTTGGGGTTTGTAAAAGTGAAGGAGGTGAACTAAATTATGGGCAATGTGAATTGTACAAAGCTGCCTCTTTTGTAAATGAAAGACTTAAAGAGATTAACCTGTGAAACCTGACTTCTAAAATCTGACTCTGTGACCAGTTTCACTTTTGGCTGACAATCAATGGGATCAATGCCAAAGCTGGGCTGATGGAAACATGGTCTTTCTCCTACAGCAACAACACACCATGGCACAATTTAAATAAGTTGTGAATATTTAGCAGGGCCAGGGAATAGCTCCCACAGTAGAAGATCAACACTATTTAGTAGATATTATTGTCTGGTGTTTTTGTTCTATCATAAGTTTTCAGAGGAAGAGGTGGGAGTGAATTGCTAGTGATTGTTTTTGTGTATACGAAGAATTTTGGACAAAGAGTGCCTGTAAAAGCATGGCTCAGTGCCACACATTTTCCCTCTCTATAATGAGATATTCAAGATCTGGTTCTGAGGTAAACAGATTAGTTAAGCCAGGGGGATAGGTAACAGTATGGAACTCCTTAAACTACATGAATATTATGATACTTTTACTTATTTCTTCAGTGAATACTTCGGTCAAGGCTCTGCTTTCCTGTGTTCCTGCTTTCCATTAACTTTGAATGAAAAATTTCATCACATGGAGAGCTCCAAGAAATGGCCACAAACCAAATGTTTGTGTCTTCAGATGACACAGGTGTTGAAATTCACAGCACCTTCATGGATGGTAGTGGGTGGATGTGTCAGGAGATCACACTGTAGCGTTGTGCTCAGGAGTTACTACCGGGGATCCTTGGAGAGGGCACAGGATGTTTTACCCCTGGTGCTCATAACAACCGGTGTAACAATCCCTCCATGGGGTTTTGTGAGGCAAGGACACCACAAGAGGACACCACAGTGTCCTGTGAGGATGCCCCATGGCCCTGTGAGGAGGCTTCAGGGTTGTCATGCTCAAGACCAGCCCCAGGGCTCTGCCTTCTGCCCCCATAACCCCATTCCCTGTCCCATTCTTGGGTGGACCCATCTCCACTGCCATGTCCTGACTGCTGCTGCTTTGTCCTTGCTGTGGAGCAGCACAAGTGACACCCTGGGACCAACAACTCCCGGCCAGGAGCAGCCAGGACAGACCCTGAGGGTTAGTGGGGCCCAACAGAGCCCAGAGACAGGGGCAGCCCAGGTGGGGCTGGACTGGGTGGGGTGGGCTGGGCTGGGCTGAGCTGAGGGGGGTGGGTTGGCTTGGGCCAGGCTGGGCTGGGCTGGGCTGGATTATTAATTAGTGCCCTTGAGGCACCCAGGGCCCTTGGTGTGGTTTTGGCTGGGGACAGTCTGTGGCTGGGCTCTGCTGAGGACCTCTGAGGTGAGGTAACACCAACCCCAGCTGCCTTAGCTGTCCTAGCAGAGGGATTTTCCAGGTAGTTTATGTAAAGCTGAGGCTGATATTGACTAAATCCCAAAGATACCAGTTGAGATACTGTTGTTAGAAAAAAGCCTTTGTCTTTTCCCTGCACACAAATGTTTCCTGCTCTCTGTTTGCCCCAGGTGTTACGTGCTGTGTGGGTGTGCAGAGCACAGCTTTCAGCAGCAGCAGCAGCTTTCCAGTCTTGCTGGACTATGATCATTGTGTAAATCATCTTCAGAAGAAATCTAGGCTTTTTCTGTTGGTGTAGATCACATTTACGATGCTGTGGTGTAAATAAGTTACCCACGTGCTTCTGTTTCCTTTCACCAAAACAGTAAGGGAACAAATTTTGTGCGCAAAACACGAAGAACTCTTTTGCCATTCTCAATAAATAGCACTGATGTGTTCAAAATACCATTATTTGTCTTTTTAAGAGAAGGTGATTAGCTTTATTGAAGTTGTATATGAAGCTTCTTGGGTTTTTATCCTTGAGGTGGCTTTTAATTGCTCTGCTTTTGAGTTGGCAAATTTGGGAAGCCACCAGTGCTTTTTTTTTTTTTTTTTAGGTAGACATTTTAAGAATAAGTTAGCAAGCTAGTTGCGTATCTGCATCTCTTTCAGGACACAATTGTATTTGAAACCACAGCTGTGTATCAGCACATAATTTAATGCAGTTGCTGGCCCTATGTTGGAGAGAAAATAACTTCAGTGTGTGGGATTGCCTTATCTATTGCAACAATATTATTTCAGGCATTTATTAAGCTTCAGACTGGCAGGGGCCAGCATAAATCATGTGTTGATGTTGCCGTGTTCAGATAACTGTGCAGTTGAAAACTGAAAAATTAAAATTGAAAATCTGGTTTATGAGGAAAGGGAGAAATGATCAGGAAAAGCAGTATCTTTATTTCAAAAGCTACTATTTTTTGGAGTTAATCCAGCATCCCATGCCATGCTGTGGAAGGCAATCAAGAGCCCATCCTTAGAGCTGAGTGTGAGCTGTGTGAGATGTTGCACATGTGCCCAGCTTAGCCAGCGCATTGCTTCACCTGTGCAGCTCAGTTACAGGGAGAAGTCTGAAGGTGTGAATTTTTGGAAATGGGGTAACTTTACTTACAGTTTTCCATTTTTTTTTGAGCAATTGGAAGCACTGGTGTGTGATTATTGAATCTGCCTGGAACATCTGCTGGGCAATTTTGTTTTAATACAGCCTGTAGATGCTATTAAATGAAAACTTATAGATTATACAATATAAACCTGATCCTACTGTTGGTGTTAGTGACTTGCTATTACAGTCCAATTAAAGTCAGCACATACTGTAAGGGATAGTGGTGATCCTGTCCTCAGTGATTGGACTGACAGTGCCAGGGATTTAGAAAAAAGAAAAGGACAAATTTTTCTATTTACTTTGCTGCACTGTTGCTATTTCTTAATTTTCAAGGCTTCTTTCAAGACCGCTGCTTTCCTTCATAGATGCAAGATGCCTATATGTCTTTTTAAAACCAATAAAAATATCAGCTCAGCTTTGCAGAAAATACTGAACTGGAGCCAAAATGACAGCTAGCATGATGCAGGATTATTCTTGGAAGCATTATTTATGCTCAGTGTGAAAGACTGAAACACACAGACTTTTACGGACATGCAGATAGGCTTTGTATCACAGCTAGACACTTAAGAAATTAAAATACTTTCTTGGTTACTTCAAAATGAGCTGAGGATTCAGATTCCAGGCAATGTACTCTTTCAATATAAAGTACTGAAGCCAGTATAAGGAAAAAAGTGATAATGCTTGAGAAAGAGACATCCCTCTTAGTCTTGGTCTGGAATCTTGCAAAGGCTTAGATGTGCAATTAAGTTCATGCATTTGCTGGAAAAGTAAAAAGTGAGAAGCTTAAACTTCAGGTGCCTGCATTTGAGTGTTGTTTAGACTAATTTCTGCATTTATAGTTAAGACTGAGGAAAAACCAGTCAACTGAAAGACCGAAAATACTCAAAACTATTATCTTGTTTTCTTTTTTTTTTCCCCTCAAGCTTTGCTAGAAGATGCAATTCTCTACATGGAAACTAGGAAGAGGATTTTGCTGGTAAGTGCATGAAACTTGCTTTTGTTCCTTGCTGCTTGAACCTGTGTAATGAGGAAGGGGCAGGGAGTGAAGCACACTGAGGGGTGCACTGAAGGATTTGAGCTACACTGAAGTGCTGTAAACAATCTTTATTTGCTGCCAGCCATTATGAAATATCACAGATCAATTTAATTCAGGAAGAACTTTGCTTTTTATAAGGAATAATCTTGATTACAACGAACTGTAAAAGTCTGCCAGCTATTACATGAGCTCCTATGCCAATGCTGCAGGGTATCTCCAGAAGTTTTCAGTTTTGTTGGCCTCTGAAGTGGAATGAACTCACCCATGACCTGCTGTAATGCTGCTGATGACCAGACAGCTGGTCTTTCAGTTTTTTTCCTCTATGTCTTTATTTCTATCCCAGCAGTCTCTAAGGAAATTGGGTAGAAGCAGATAGTGTGGCATAGTAGCTGAAAGCTTAGAATCCATTCTTAGCCCACAGTCCTTATAAATATCTAATAAAAATGATTATTTGGTATTACATGATTGTTTTGACACAATACTGACAGATACAAATTGTATTCAGGTGTACAAAAGTTTGAATTTTTAATGCAGAGCTGTCACTGTAAATCAAGCTGCTGGTCAGTCACGTATTCAGCAATGAGCGGAAAATACAGTTTGGATTTTTTGTCCACAAACTCTGTGGAGTAGTCACACTGTGAATATTCTCAATTCCCAGTCTTTCAGCATCTGAGAAACTAATTCAGAGTTTTATAGAAGCAACAGGGATTGAACTTTGCTATCCCTTTTGCTATAGGAGCAAAAGTGTTCGTTTCTGTAGCAAAATTAAGTTATGTGGGGAGATTGTGACAAGCTGAAAGTACTCCAAGTGATGTTTGGGGTGTCCAGGGACTCCAGGGCTGTGCCTGTCCATTTTCTTCTCTTTTGATAGTTCTGCAGTGAGCAATCAGCTATCAGCACATCCTTTTATGAAATATAATAAAAACCATTATCACTGTTATTTTTTAAAAAACCCCTTTCCTTTCCCTGTTTGAAATTCGACTTTAGTTGTATTAAGATAAAGAAAGTGAAAATAAAGGAAAACAGAATAAAATTATTCTTGTTAGGTTATAAACAAAACTCTAGGGAAGCACTTGCCTTTCTTCACCTGAAAAACATCTTGTAGCAAGCATATGACATGGAGTGGAGGAGATTGGGAAATATCTCTGACTGTTGATGAGGTTTTGTTATTCTCTTCTGTTATCTCCAGGCATCCAAATATCATAAATATTTTTTTTGGTGGCTTTTTTCCCCCACGAGTTTTGAGTGCAGTTTCCAATTCTTTTGCCCATGGTGCAAGGAATTTCCAGCTCGAATCCTCTAGATGGTGCCACAGCCCCAGCACACGGAGGTGACTCAATATTAGTTTTGTCTCTTGCTTGTTAAAATCCCACTTCAGTCAGGTGCTGTACCAAAGGATTAATGATTTGAGCAGTGGTACAGTTTGTAGGTTAATAAAGGGAGGAATCAGCATAGGTAGGTTACTTATCCTCAGCTAGATAAATATAGGTTTTGGGGTTTTTTTACAAATACAGAAACTTGCAAGGACTGTTGCTGTTGTGTGGTCAAGTTGCCCCCTCCTTTCTTGAAGCCACCCCTTGAGTGCTGCCAAAGGCAGGGGTGACCAGCTGTGCCCTGTGGTGCTGAGTGAGTGACCCCAATGAGCCTCTTAAAGCTCCCAGCAGATGTTTCTGCTTTTCCATGCTAATGGCAACTTCACAAACCATATTCTTTTCCTTCTGAGAGCAGATGTAAGTACATGAAAATCGCTTTCTTGTATCAAGTGCAAATTGATAATGATGTTGGTTCAGTTGTTAGGCAGAAGCTGTGGAGGCACTCACTCTGGTAATTGCACAAATCTTATGCAGAGCTTCATCAAAACTAATTTTTTTAATGTTCTGCTGGCTATTCTTGCAAAATCTGAATTGTGAGCACATTATTGCCTGGGTTTTTATACCATCCGCTCAGAGGCTTTAAACTGGTGTGTGAATCTGCTCCAACCCTTCTGCCTTATCACCTCTAAAGCAGCCACTCCCCTGCTGCTCTGGTTGTTCTGGTGGGTGAAGTTTAGTGAGAACAGACATGTCAGCAATTGTATTCCTGAGCTTTTGATGGCCTAATATGTAGCTTTGTGTGGTCTGCTGTGAGTTTAGGGCACCAAGAGCTGTGCATCCAGGGGAGGCTGCTGGGCCATGTGTGCTGAAGTTCTGCTGTCCTGCTTTGACAGGAAATACCCAGCGAAGCAGGGAGAGTTTAGAGTGACTCTGCTGATGCCTGAATCATATTGAGATTAGAACTTGCTGCTGACAGCAAGGACTGTGTTTGTGATCAACTTGTATGGAAACAGTGGGTACCAAAGTGTGGGAACAGAGCATAATCTGGTAAAGGCACCAACTCTCCAGCCTCAGTTACACTGAGCCTTTTATTTAGCTCATGGGTATAGACTGTGTCCTTTGTAAGGACAAGAGAGGACTTGACCATCTTTGTAAAGCATCTGTCTGTAAAAGGTGTTATCAGGCAATAATAAAGGAATAACTGAGCCACAGGACTGTATTTTAAAATTTAATTTAACTTGGATAACTGCATCCTGCCTCCTTGGCACCCTGCATTTTAGATTCTTCGCAAGTCTGGAAAAAAAACAGTCAGAAAATTCCAAATTAAATATTTAAGGTGCTATTTGTACTTCTATTTTATGAGATGAAACACTGGTGTCCTCTTCATTTGACACTATTAAAATATCTGTAATATTCTTCATAGAGAATTTACTTACTGGCCAGATTGATTTTGGGTAGCAGCAGCCTGTACAAAGGTCAGCTATAGTTTCTTTTAGATGCTGCAGTAGTGATACTGAAGTGACAGCAGCTAAAGTTCAGTTTTGTACTTCCTGTCTTAGATCTATTTGGTGATATTTGCCCTCTTTAAAGTACACCTGTCTTTCTCTCCAAAAGAAGTGGCCACAGACCAGCTAGAAATTAATCTGGCAACTGCTGCAAAGGCAATAAAAAAATGTTTAAATACGTCAGCAACAAAAGGAGAATCGCTTTCCGCTTATTGGATGAGGGGGAAAACACAGTGATAAAGGATAAGGAAAAGGCTGAAGTACTTATTGCCTTCTTTGCCTCAGTCTTTACTGGTAACACCAGTTGTTCTCCAGGACCCCAGTCTTGGGGAGCAGAATGTAAGCCCCATAATTCAAAGTGATATGGTCACTGGCCTCCTGCAGCATGTAGGTACACACAGAACTGTGGGGCTGGATGGGATTCTCCCTGGGGATACTGAGGAAGCTGATGGAAGAGCTCACTGAGTCACTCTCAATCATTTATCAGCAATCCTGGGAGCTCCCAAGTGACTGGGGGTTGGCAAATGTGATACCCACCTACAAGGATGAGCAGGAAGGAGGATTCAGGAAACAACTGGCCTGTTGAGCTGCCTGCAGTGCTGGGAAAGCTCAGGGAGCAGCTCATGCCAAGAACCATCACACAGCAGGTACAGGACACCCAGGGGATCAGGCCCAGCCTGCACATGCTTGGGCCATGTCCTGCTTGCCAGCTGACCCCCTTCTGTGACAGGGTCACCTGTTTAGGAGGTGAGGGAAAGGCTGTGGATGTGTCTGTCTGGACTTTAGGAAACCCTTTGATATACGTGATACCCACCTACAAGCATGAGCAGGAAGAAGGATTCAGGAAACTACTGTCTGTTGAGCTGCCTGCAGTGCTGGGAAAGCTCAGGGAGCAGCTCATGCCAAGAACCATCACACAGCAGGTACAGGACACCCAGGGGATCAGGCCCAGCCTGCACATGCTTGGGCCGTGTCCTGCTTGCCAGCTGACCCCCTTCTGTGACAGGGTCACCTGTTTAGGAGGTGAGGGAAAGGCTGTGGATGTGTCTGTCTGGACTTTAGGAAACCCTTTGATATAATTCCTCAGCATTCTCATGAGAAACTGGACGTCCATGGCTTGGACAGGTGCACTCTTTGCTGGCTTAATGGTCAGGCCCCGAGAGGGGTGGTGAATTGGGGCCAGTTTGGTTTAATGTCTGTGTCAGTCACATGGACAGAAGAATCAACACCCTCAGGCAATTTGCAGAAGGACACCAAGCTGGGTGGGAGTGCTGATCTGCTGGGGGGCAGGAAGGCTCTGCAGAGGGATCTGGGCAGGCTGGACTGAGGGACAGGAGATTCAGAAAAATGAAGTGGTGGGTCCTGCCCTTAGGTCACAACAATCTCCTGCAGTGCTGGAGACAGAATGGCTGCAAAGTGGGCCAGTGGAAAAAAATCTGAAATAAGTGTGCTCTACCATAGGATCTGTAAAGTTTGCCAATGTACTTTTTACACTGCTGAGTCATTTCAGCTTGTAAGGACCAAAGACAAAACCACAGGTTTCTGTGACCTCTTCAGGGGATAAGTGTGCATAAGCACTTTCAAAAGTTCAACAAAGATAACCAGAACTCAGACAGTTCCCTGCCAACCACCAAATAAAGTAAAAATGCTTGGTTTAATACCTTGTGTATCTGTAGTGTAGTGACTAACTTTGGGATGCTATAGATTATCACAGAAGGTGGGGTTGAGGAGCTTAAGAACGGCCTTTTTTCCCTTTCTGTGGTGTCCAAATGTGAAGTACAGTCTTAGACTGTCCTGGCTGGCTGTAGTTGTCACCTTGGGAACAAGGACTGATGCAGCTGGACTCTTGGCAATTTGTGTCTTTATATGTAGTCATTAAAAGCCTGCACTACAAGGGATATGGATACTTATTATTGGCATTTTTTGGATGAGAACTGTATTTCTCATTACTTTAATGTTCTCTGTCATCTTTGATGAAAAAAATTAAACTACTCTCCAAAAAATGTAAAGGTACTTTGATGATGCAATATTCTCTTTTTTTATTTCTTCACCTTAGTTTGGCCAGAAGCATGAGTTCCAAAATACCACAAAGAGTCAGTCAAAAAAGTCTGAAAATGCCACA